CAGTGTTCACTTAACAGAATTCAACTGCACTGCCATGGAAACCAGTGATGCATAAACGGGCCGGTTTGAGGGAGAGAGGTCAGAGTGCGAGTGACGACCACCTCCTGAGAGAGAAAGCCTGCTCTTTTGTTGTAATACAATTGGGATCCGTTTCCCCGGCAACCGCAGTACCTTGTGTGGGGGGAGGGATGAACAGAGAGGAGGGAGTGGAGAAGAGAAACAGACAGAAGAGGAAGGGACAAAGAAGAAGAAGATATGGATGGGAAATAATGGTCAACCCTGCCATTCCAAAAAAACACTGTCCTAAAGGTTAATGCATTAATAAATGTGCATAAATGCTCCATGCTAACATATATACTTTTAATTATAGTATAAACAATCCTGTTTAACCCTTTTGTATATGCGAAATAATATCTATGAATTGTTTTCACCTATTTTTTTTTTCTTTTGGTCAGATCACTTACAAAAGTCATAGCACCTCTCATAAATATCTAAAAATAATGATTCCCAAACAATGCATAGCTGATATAATTTGAGTTGCCATATTGCATTACAACTGCAGGGTGGCCTTAGTGATCACCACGCCATGGTAAAAATAACATGAGGACAAGGTCATGTATCTTCACATGTTTGACAAATGGAGGAGGACGTTGAAATTAACTAGATGTCAAGCTGCATCAATCAGTGCACCTGAAATGCTTAATATTGTTAGATTTACCCAGCATTCTCTTTGCAAGCTCAGTTCAAATGCTCCCTGAACCTTCCTATTACTGCATGCAACCACAACAATCCCAGAAACCATCCCTGTAGGCAACTGTCCCCTTCACAAATGAGGTTACCCAGAGTTCAGAGCAAGATGCTGCCACTGTCTGACAATGATTTTGAATCTGAAAGCAAGGACGGTTCATGTGTCCCTCATGATGCCAGAAAGAAATAAATGGTTTAGAACTGATGACATGAAAGATTTAGTCTGGTTTTCGTGAGTAAACTAATTGCTGCTTAAACTGTCACCTTCTAGTCATTGATGTCAGTTGTTTGTAAAATAGTAAAAGCTATTCATCAATAAAATCACATTTAAATTTTCATTTGGCTTTTCTTTTTCTGTTAATTTATCCTCAAATGCAGAAATCATGCCAAAATGTTCTGACCTATTAAGTAAATTTAAAGAACAAAATCCTTTCATTCTTGCAATCCAAATGAATTTAATAATTAAAAATAATTATTAAATAATTATAAAATAAAAATAATAATACATAAAACAAACAAATAAATATTATAAAATAATTATAAAATAACAATAACAATATGTAAAACAAACAAACAAACAAATAAATAATTATAAGTAATTACAAAAAGAAAATATTTTTTAAATGTATATAAAAATATATGATAAAATAAATATTAAAATAATTTTTTGTATATACAATGCTTGAAAAAATATATTTGCAGAGTGTTACATGTGAATTGTGATTATCGTTCAAATGCATTTGAATATATTTCTACACTGATCTTGTAATCCTTTGTGCAGTAGTGGGTTTAAAATGTATCATCACTTATGTGTGTGTTTGTGCTGGTTACAGTGCAAAAGGTTATGTAACTCTACATTTCCACACAAATGTACAAGAGGATGAGCAGATGGGTTGCCTCGGCTCAACTCCATCCATTCTTTCTTCTTTTTATCTCTTTAATTTCTTGTCCCATCCCTCTATAATACTAGGGCAGGACTGGAGTGAATAAGTTAAAACCTTGTGACTGAGGACAGCCGGTTTTAGATAACGTTTACAGTGCTGTGTGTGTTAAACAGATACACTGGCCGCTGTAACAAGCTAATGCAGCTGTTTTCAGTAGGGCTCAGCTGAATACTGCGGCCCGGGAAAAGAGGATTAACCATCGGCTCGAATCAATCCAGGTGTTATAGCTGCAGATACAAAGATTACAGAACAATCAAAATAAACAACGCGCCTGAGCACCAACTGCTCATGACATCAACCACTGTGGCATACACTAGCAAGCCGCTGTAAAGCAACCTTGTTACATAAATAGTTATAAGATGCTTATTTCGTCATGGCCACATGCAAAAGAGGACCAAAAAATTGGTTAAAACTGACTTCAGAAATAAAAATATAGCAAACATCCCCGTAGGACAGATTAAAGATTAATTTCCCTTTAAACATTTCTGTAATGTGATCTGAATTATCTGCAGGGCACAAGAAAGAACTGGGTCAAATCGAAAATGACAAATCTTTGATGCTGTTAGTACATAGGTTTTAAACTAATGCATTTAAACATTTATGGCTTGCATTTATTGCTACTTGCAGGGAAAATACAGAAAAACGTATGTGGAAAATAATGTGTTTTTTTAACTTTAAACCGCATAAACACATTTCATTACACCAAATACACAAAATAATGTTCTTTTTAGCAGCATCATATGACCCCTTTAATAGTAGTTTCTGTTTGTTTTGATTTTTGTGTTGTATTGAAGATTGATAAATAATGAAAAAAGGAAAGAACACACACTCACTCACTCACTCTCTCTCTCTCTCTCTCTCTCTCACACACACACACACACACACACACACATATATATATATATATATGACTGCTGTTGAGGTCATGCAGTTATTAGAGCATGATGATTAAACTAGTCCTAGGTTAATGTAATGCAATTTGATCACATCATTTAAGCATTCAGTCTGTGTAATGTGGTTTACCTCCATGGCGAGAGCAGCGGTCTGCTGATCATAGTGATTCAGAAGGTTGGGCATGAAGGTGGTATTGTAGGCGAGGCCCTGGCACATCCTTAATGTGATAGGCTCACAGGTAAACATGCTATGGCTCCCGGTAGCTTCCATATTGATGGCCATACATACAGTCAACATGGAGTACAGAACCCAAAGGAGATCCATGGCGTGTCCGTCTGTGCTGTGACTTGCAAAGAATGAGTTGTATCAAGAAAATCTGAGCTCCGCCATTCTCTCATTAATTATCTGTTGCTTGACACCAGACCTAAATTGCACAGATAGGGTGTGCTTCTCCATTTTGCTGTTCCAGATCCAGGTCTTTTCAGTGCATGTGTCCACTATCCAGTGTAGGTACGACTGTGGTTGCCATGCATTTATAAGATGTACATCTGTGGGAGAAAAAGCATCAGATGTCACATTTGATATGAACAGGCTAACATGAATTATTCATGAATGGGGTGACAGTTTATTCAAACATGAAAAATCTTCCTGGAGATCTCTTAATGCGTGGAAAATGTTTTCAAAGTGAACAATGCACGATCAAAAGCACTGCCATATTATACTGGTAGTAAATAAAAGATGCTTTATTATAGTGTATTACCCAGTGGGATCTTCAATGTAACTATGTATTCATTGCAAAAGAAAACGGAACATTATAATCTCAGAAACACAATATTAACTTGTTCAGAACCGAATTATGTTCCATGCTTTCAGTCTAAATGCAACCATAAATAACAATGAAAAAAAAAATACATTTATGAAAAAGTTAAATATTGATAGTTTAATAACTGGAATTCAATAACTTTAAAACAGTAAATCCATTATTGATGTAGTTTTAGTTTTAAGATATATTTTGTAGTGCCTGTGCCCAGTCGCAGGCTGCGATTATTTCAAGATTTTCAACATAAAAAGTAATTTATAAGTAATTATGTTATTGATTTGGTTTATATGCCTGACACCTCAGTACCACTTCCACCTAAAAAAATAAATAAATAAAACCTAACCGGCTTCTTGCAGAACGAGGATTTTACTATCAAAAATGCCCTGCGCTAAAATATGGTTTTTATTTTATCCTTTTTATTGATTTTAACATAAACTCAATCAAAAATGTATGTTAAATGTAAAAACTGTCGCGTTTTTATAAAAATAAATGCGAACAACAGATAACCCTTTTCTTTATTACCATATGAGCCCCTGTCTATCGAGGCGTGTAGCAGCTTTGCTGTAAAGAAACTACCTTCAATATAGGTGTCTGCTGTTCTTTTAGGAGTATTGTTCTTGTTTTTACTAAAACATGTTTTTATACAAAATGAATTTTGGTAATGATAAAAAGTCCTTCTTACCTCTCCAGCAGGGATATGTCTCGCGTGGGACTCCACTCCGCCCTGTGTGTCTTTCTGCAGGTTTGGAGGATTTGTACGGGCGCGCGCATTTGACGATGACGCGCCGACGAATATTGCTCTCTCTCAACATAAAAGCATAATAGAACTTACGTTACTGGATTGAGCGTAAAAAAAAAACACATTCAGAATGCAAACATATTAACGGCTTCGGTTTATCCACGGATATTATCGCTGTAATGGCCAGGGGCCGCTGGGAGCGAGGAGCGTCTCGGCACTATAATGAAATGAAGTTGATTTGTGGTTGCCTGGAATGAGGGGCGGTGTGTTTAGTGGTGGGAAGTCCGACTGATTTTTGCGATTCGGTTCTTTTGGGCATTTTATTTCGAAGAATCGGTTCTAAACGAGTCATTGATTCATTTACATGACGACGTAATTACGTCATCGCGTGGTCGTTTGATACATTTTTTTTTCGATTACTAACGATGTTCGTGCCCCAAACCAGTTTGTTGCCGCCACAGTTCTGCTAGTAAAACATGAATACATTTAGTTCCTAAATATAATTAGCATTTACATTGAACAATACTAAAATTAATTTACATCTCTCAAATGAAAAGTGTTTGCCCATATTAATAAAAATCTGTTTAATAAAGTCAACTAGTAATTATCATGTTGATACAACTTTAAAACAACCAAATGAAAGTAAAACTATAAACTACAATATATATATA